AACTAGACTGAAGAACAAAACAACAGCAACTTGTCTGTTCCCCTTTCCCCAATTCCCCAGCACTGTTCCCATCCCCCCAATACCCCAATAAAAAATCTTAAAAAAAATACATATAGTTATTTAGGTCTGTATAAATGCTTTTATGTTTGATATGTTTTACATTGGCATTTTTTATTGTTGGATGAAAAAGAAATTAGTAGTTATTCTCTGTATTCACTAGTAACCACGTTATTCAAACACTCTCCATCCCCTCGAGTCTGTATTTAGGATACTTAGCATAATGCTTGGCCCTTTTAACTTGAAATGAGCAAATTTAAGAGAGAATTTCCCTGAATTCTTCTTTTATAATTTATTCTCACACACTCTTTCAAGAAAGTTTGTTTTTCTGGACTCTTGGTTTATGTCCTTATATATGCCTTTCCTACCATCTCTCTCTGTTTTTTAAAAATGTTCACACAGCTATAAGAAGTAAAGAATTTCTGTGGTTTACACTTTAAAATCACCTCCAATCCTTTCACTCATGGTAATACATGTTTCCAGTTTCTAGTAAAATGTTAATTTTTGTATGTTTTAAACCATAATGGAAATATTGGGTCAAGAAAATTACCAAAACTGCAAAAGATGGCAAATTTGAAAAGTTATATTTTTGCAGAGTTAAAGGGGATAATTATTCATTTTTAAAAATGAGTATAAAATAGAAAAGTATCAGTGCTAAATTATAATTGTGTTGTAGCTGAGGTATAGATTTTAAGAAATGTAACTAGAGGGCCTGCTGAGTGGCTCAGTTGGTTAAGAGCTCGCTCAAGGGTTTGAGCTCTGAGCAACAGCGGTTCGAGTTCAGCCTGAGCTGAGCTGCCAACACGTGGCAGGATGGGTCAGCTAAAAAAAATAAATAAATAAAAATAAAATAAATAAATGTACTTAGGAGGAAAAATATTTGAACATAAATGAAGACATTGCAAATATCACTTGTTTTCTAGACGTGTAACCTCATTTCTGCAAATCCTTTGCTGCCTTGAATTAAGTCTATTTTGAAAGAACAGTTATTGAACTATCACAACATTCTTGCTGACTACTTGTTTGAAGAAAAGTTTGTTAAATAGAGAGCAGTTTTCACCATAGAAGATACGAAGAAATTTCAAAAGACAAATGCCTATCTCATGAACTATCTGTTGAAAAGATACAATTGTGTTCAGTATACTGGCAGAAAAAAAACTTTTTAGTCAAAATACTAAAGGGAATATTAGTAAGAGTAAACTTTGCCACATATTGTGTTAGGTGTGTATTAGAACATTTAAATAAAATAAAAATATAACATTTCAGCTACAAAGTAGAGGAGAAATTATAAATAATCCTGTGTGATTAGAAATTCTTTTATTTACAAGTGTTTTCATTGATAAAGGCTTTTTGATTGTTAAAAAAATACTACATTAATGCATATTCAGAAAATGTGTGTATTATAGAAAAGACAAAAGTGCTTTAACCAGAGTCTCATCACTCAAAACATATGCTAAAATTCGGCGTGTTTTTGTAGTCATTTAAAATTTGTACAATTTCATTTTTCCCCTCAAAGAAAGTTTACAATTTTGCATTTTTCTTTTTAAAAACACAACACACGGTAAGCAGTTGTCACTGCTCCTTGCCGTAGCTTAAACACATTCACTATGATCTTACTTCAGGACTTCTCCCTGGAAGACGCTGCCTTTAGCTACCGCCTTGCACAGCGTCCTCACCTCATAGGNTAAACCTGAAACTAATAATAATAAAAAAGACATATATATATATATATATATATATATATATATATATATAATATATAGTCACAGAATGTATAGTACAGCATAGGGAATATAATCAATGGTATATAATGCTATGCACAGTGTCAGTTGGGTAGTAGACTTGGTGGGGTTATCACTGAGGTGTGTAAATGTCTAAACATTATGTTGTTTTGTAAACCTGAAACTAATAATAATAAAAAAGACATACACACGCAAACACACACACACACAAATGGTGTCTGTTGATGGAATTGGCTTAAGAGGAAGCTTGACGTCAGCAGCCAGTGTGTGACATACTTGGGAAGGCGTTAACTAATGACTAAGGTTTTGATTTGATAATTTTGTATTGAATTGACTATGAATGCTGATATTCATATATTTTTTTCTTTATGGATAGATATAATCAATTGCTAATTATAGAAAGGAGAAGAAAGTTAAAAAGACATCTGAAGATACAGCCTTGGGCACTACACTTGATATAGAACTGGAGGAAGGTAAGAAGATAAAAACTGAACAAGTAGTTTCTCTTGTGGGGTTTTATATGTTTAGTTTTTAGGAAAGTACACAGATTTCTCAAATAATATTTATATTTGAGATTGAAATTTTCTGCTATTTTGAAATGCTAAATATTTTTAAGAACTATTCTTAAGAATATTTGTGATTAGGGCTGGCCGAGTGGCACGGTGGTTAGGAGTTGGCTTGGGACGCCAGCTCTGAGCAGCAGGGCCCAGGGTTCGGATCCCACCTATGAGGGTCAGTGACGCTGCACCCGCTACAGCTAAGATGGTGAACAACAGCTCAACCTGGAGCTGGGCTGCTGTGAGTCTCTGGCGACCACGTAAGCTGCAGCGGGAATGCAGTGGGCTGCCACAAGCTACCGTGAGCAGCCGGCAGCCAGCGTGAGCTGCCAAGATCCGCTGTGAGCGGATGTCCAATGGCCGGCAAGTGACTGCCTCACCCTGGAAGAGCGCAATGATAATACCAACATGGGCCAGTGAAGCGACGTCCTCCACAACTAGACTGAAGAACAAAATGGACAGCAACGTGTCTGTTCCCCTCCCCAAATTCCCCAATGCTGTTCCCCTTGCCCCAATTCCCCAATAAAATCTTAAAAAAAAAAGAATATTTGTGATTAAAGTGTTCTGACACTTGTATTTACTGATAATGTAATGTAAAGATATACTGAACGATTAAGATAATTTTTTATCCTTAGTCTCTTGACTAGTTATAAAAAACCCCAAAATATTTGAATTACATAGAGATTTTAATAGATATAAAACTATTAGTAAATTTCTTTATTTTAAAAACACTTCAGATAAGTACATTTGATAATAGTTTAATATATACCTAATCATTACATAAAACTTAAATTCAATAATGATATTTGTGAAGAACTGAAAATGCCATGCATCTATTAAAGTAACTTTTGGTGCTTATTTTCAAAAATACATATAGGGGCCGGCCGAGTGGCGCGATGGTTAAGCACTGGCTTGGAACGCCAGAGGGTCCCGGTTCAGATCCCACATATGAGGGCCAGTGACACTGCCCTCTACAGCTAAGATGCTGAACAACAGCTCNAGTAGCACCCTCTTAATGTGCTTTGCTTATTTGGCTTCTATTCATGCTTTTATTTCAAGATTACTGTGCCTGCTAAGTTTGAAAATGAACAAGACCAGATTTGGGTCTACGCCTTAGTCTAGAAGAATAGTAGCACAGTCCTCCTTTTCAAACTGTACTGCCTGTCAGTACAACAAGAACAGGTAAGAAACCAATTTACTACTCAGGATATGATATATTAAACTAATGTTGAATATTATGTTTACAGTACGACATTCAAGAAAAGTTAACTACAAAAAGAACTCAAACACATTCCAGTTGAAAAGGAAAAATTAACACACCTTAACCAATGGAGATCTGTTTTCACTATCCCACACACTTACTTTGCATTGTTTCTCAATTAAGAGAGATACAATATTTGAATGTCCATAAGCACAGGCCAGGTGTAAAGGCACTCTATATCAATACAACAAAACACAAAGTTAGCGATAAGTCTTAGTTTGAGAAGTCATTTACTCTACTCAAGAACATGCCAGATCATATATTATTAAAGTACTTGCTTCAAGCACTTATTTATATTTAAACAAAATTTACATTAATTATAATTGCTTTTTACTGAATTGTTATTTATGTAATAGGATGTTTGTCCAGCCCTCAACGCAAACACACAGGGCCAGTTTTAAACCCATCTAAAATAACTCCTTGCAGTAGCTTAGCAAATCATAGCAAACATTTTGATTCATGTCCTCATCCACTATTATACATATCTCAAAAATTTAGTCCCAGGGAACTTAGGTGGCTTTAACTCAATCTTTAGATCCACCTCTGTTTCCAAGTCCAATTCTATTGTTTGTTTCATTAATTTAAAGAAGAAGAAGGAGGAGAAGGAGAAAGGAGGAGGAGGAGGAGGAGGAGGAGGAGGAGGAGAAGGTGGAGAACCTGTTCTAAGAGACAGTAAATGGCATTTGTGTAGCTACCAATAGGTCTTCCCAAGGTGGCTGCTGCACGCCTGCTGGATAATTTTACTCTTCTAATTGAAGTCTAAACTGCACTGTGACAATGAAGCCTTTAATAAAAATCTGAGTCCCAAGGAACATAGGAAATCAGCCTGAAATTCAACAAAATAAAAAAGCTATGAAAACTTCAGCTCTCTAGTTTTGAGCAACATAGTCCTGTGGCCTTTTACACAAAATGTGAAAACAAGACTCATCTATCATGAGAAGGCCTGAAATATTACAAAGTGTACAGTACCACTCAAACTTCAAGACTGTCTTAAAAAGATGGTTACGTGAAATATTTGGCATCCTGTTCAATGAGCCACCCTGGTTTAAAGTGTTTTCATTGATAAAGGCTTTTTGATTGTTAAAANCACCATCCAACAGGCAGTCTTGTTGATAGGAGCACTGCTCTCATCAGCTGAGCCATCCTGCCACCTATTGGCAGCTCAGCTCCAGCGCAGCGTCACTGGCCCGTGTGGAACTCAAACAGGCAGCCCTGTTGCTCAGAGCTCGTGCTCTTAAGATAACTCTTAACCAACTGAGCCTCTCGGCCGGCCCTAATTTTTGCTATTTTTATTACTGGAAAAAGTTCTGGCCATATGATTTTGGGCAAATTACCTAGATTTCCCAAGATCTGTTTGTCTGTAAAATCAAACAGTTGGACCACATTGGTAGGTTATTGTTATTATTATATTTTTTTATAACATTAATCTTACATAGAAACTCAATCTCTAAATCCTAGATGCCGGCGTAAATGGGGGTAGGGGACCCAGCGGTCTAGACACACTCCTCCATAGTATTTTAAACCATCTCCTTAAAACACTAGGGTCTCAGAGACTGAAAAGCACTGAGCTCACTGCTTCCTAAGGATCCTTTGTCTTCAGACTCCATGATGTGATCCGGGATTGGCACACCTTTTTGAGCAGATCTGCCCACTTTGTACATTCTTGCCCTGACTCTTTTCCTGGTAGGTTCTACATTTGAACAGTAGACTCAGAAGACTAACTTAAAAAAGGAAAAAGTATAAGACATGTTTAAGATCCCTGAACAGACATTTATCTCTCTTGCTCCAGAACAGCCCTTATGCTCATACTAAGAGATGAGCCATCAAGTTGAGTCAGCCTTCTTCTTCAGCAAGACGTGGACCTGACTTGCCAAGATAGTTATGGGTTCACAGCTGAGGAATATGCTTCTTTTAACGGTTTTACTCTGTAAATGATACTGCATATCCTTTAACAGTTGTAGGGAATTGGATCATAAGGAAAAAAACGAGCCCCAAATCACAAAACTGGAATAGACTTTGCAGAAGAGGTGACCACACTATATGATTCTGGTCCCAAGGATCCAGGGACCCTCGCTTTCACCTGTTGGCAGGGTTCAGTCAATATAGGAACTACAGGTAGGCTGAGTCTACACATTATCTCCTAGAGACATGGGAATTTGAATTATTCCAGGACAGAAATTCCAGCAACTAGTGACATAGCCACTAATAAAATATTTGGGCAATAGGTTTGGACAGATGATTAATCCACACAAGCTCCTTTCATTGTGTGTACACATTAGTAATGCAATAAGTACATTCTCGTTAACACAAAAGACAAAACTTTTCATGTATGAATAGTTTTTTAAAAAAATTATTTTAATAGTCAATGAGAAAATAAGATGCAATGAACAGAAAAAACAATTATTTTTTCTGTTTTGCCCCTCTTCTGCAATAGGAACTAAGCTTTCTGTAATTGTGACTCAGATTGCTTGAGTAGCTGTTACCTATCTACTATATTTAGTACATGCTTATTAGTATCATTGTTTGCTCTCTTCCCTGTTACATAGGTTCTATGGCTTATTTAGAGTGGAAGCATAGAAAACGTTTTTCATATTGTTTTCAAAAAATAAGTGAAGCTGTCAAATGAAGGAATTACATGATATTTAGATATTTATTTTAAAGTTAGCTTTAACCCATACATTGCCTCATTCCTTTCACTGAAATTCTGAAACCATAATGTCTATTAATGAGTGACTAGAATGGGCTCTTTTCAGGCATGGAGAAAGGTTTATTCTTTACTGGATATGTTTCAGTCCAAGTTAATTGTCTTCACTTGTCAATTTACTATTAAGCCCAAGTGTTATGAGCTGAAATGTGTACCCCCAGCACCAAATTCATGTGTTAAAGCCCTAATCCTGAGTACCTCATAATTTGAATGACTGCATTTGGAGAAAGGGCTTTAGAAAGGCATTATGTTAAAATGATGTTGCATTAGGGTGAGCCCTAATCCAACTTGACTAGTGTCCTTATAAGAAGGGGAGATTAGGACATTTAGACAGACAACAGAGGTGCTCATACACAGAGGGACAACCTATGTGAAGAGACAGCAAGAGGGGTTGACCGGTTAGCTCAGTTGGTTAGAGTGTGGTGCTGATAACACCAAGGTTGCCCTCCTTAAAAGAGTCAACTATGCCATTGTAGCATGAAAGCAATGTTTAACCAATGACCATGGCTGTTCCCCAATAAAAAAAAAAAAAAAGAGGCAATAAGAGGATAGTCATCTACTAGCCAAGGAGAGACGCCTGGAACAGATCCTTCCATTATGGGCCTTAGAGAAAGTCAACCCTGCTGGGATCTTGATCTTGGACTTCCAGCCTCCAGAGCTGTGAGAAAATACATTTCTATTGTTTAATCACTCAGTCTGGTATTTTTTTATGGCAGCCCAGGCAAACTAACACACCAAATATAACCTAAAGCCACCTTTTCTACCTAGCTAGTGGCTCATTTGTGAAAAGAAGTGCCAGAGAATGGTAGTACATGAAATAAAAATGGTGTCTGTTCCACATTCTTACACCATATACAAGAATAGCCTCAAAATGGATTGAAGACTTAAATGGAAGACCTGAAACCATAAAACTCATAGAAGAAAGTATAGGAAATAAACTCTCAGACATTA